GCATAATGTGATTGTTTCTGTCCTGGGTGCAGTTTGCACTTCACCATTGTGCTCTCGTTCTTTCGTGCAATAAAAATAAAGGTAATGTCGATGTCTCTGCTGCAGACCGGCCCACTATTTTCCTCCTCCCACACATGAACTGAAATCACCTCAATGTAGCTCAAGTTTGCAGTTGTTTTTTCTTTCCGTCCACCCAACCTGCAGATAATTGAAAAACCTTAACGCAAGTAACAACATCACTGCAAACATATTATTGAATTTTGTGCAGTAATACACCACATGGCTGAAAAATGTAGTGTGATTACAGTAGCCACTGTTCTTCTGCATACCTTAGTTGTAATGAGTGATTCTTCGACTTACTGTTGCCTTCAAATCAGCTCAAAGCAGTCTGACCCTTCACCCCTGATGTCTGACATCAACAAGACATTTTCATGCAGAAAACTGAGGCTCACTGGATATTTTCTCTTTTCCATCTGTAAACCGTAGTTTAGAGATGGGCGTGAAGGAAAATCCCAGCAGATCGGCGGTTTGTAAAATAGTCCTAGTAAAGTGTCTGGCAAGTGTATATTACTCTTTTCAAACTTTGTCTTGTTGTGACCAGGACAATCACTTTTGTGAATTTAATTGTTTCCTAAAGATAAATGGCATGGTGAGTGCTTCCACCAGGTCATAAAAATAATCAAAACAGTGGAAAATATAACAAAATCATCATGTGCAATGAAATTTGGCTCTGATTTGGAGTATAAAGAAGTCATTGTGTGCCCAGACAATCTACAGGAAAGTCTTAATTTTTAAGCAAAATGTTATGTTTTATGAATAAAATAAGTTTTCGTTGTCATAACTAATAAAAATCACGGATAAGATTTTGATTGAATCCTGTAATCTGCAAGACATTTCACCCACTGTGAGGCCGCTGTGGCTATGCTATTATCAAAGTAGGAACAGATAGAAGGGACAATCACCAAATAATCATAGTGGGCATTATTCTTCCTTTTAACCTCCTAGGACCTGGCGTCCACATATGTGGACATCACATTTTGGGTTATTTAGACCAAAATACTCAATTTTGCTCTACAAGGGCCTGATATCCACTTACGAGGACATTATACTGCCACTGTCCTATAGAAATTTTAAATGAATATCCTCATATGTGGCTCTTATTATTCTTAGAAACAAAAAATAGGTAAAAAAAAACCCCCGTAATTCTTTGTTTTTACATTCATCAGGTCCCAATCAACCTAAATAGCAAAGAGAAATTAAAAATGCATGCCGTGGAAGAGTTCAGGTCTTAGGAGGTTAAAATAATTTTTAAGTTAGCTTAGGTTGTGTTGTGCGTTTGGTAATAAAACTTCAGGTTTTTACTGTCTTCAAACTAAAGCCGTTCCCTGCCTCAGGAAAGAAAGATGCTCTTCGGCTTTAAACTTTAATAAATACTCATTGAAAAAACATATTTTCGACACTTTATTGAGCAGCTATCCCTGCCCCATACCAGTCGTGGATCAGCTGTTAGTACTGGATAATTTAACAAAAACTGGATCCCCGGGACTGAATCTGCAGAGTAATTATTTGGCTGTGGGTTTCGACTTTTCCTTCGGCGACATTACAAAACAAACCAACACTTAAAGTGTTTTTGCAAAAGGCTAAAGTGTTCTAAACTGACTTTTCTTCTGTCTACATATAGTGCAACCTTAAATTAAGACATTTCAGACTCCCAGGAGCCCCATGTAGTCATGTAAACACAAATACATTATCAATATACAACACAAATATTAGAAGCATCATCACTGTCCTCCAGAAACCACGAATAACCCCAAAAATCCTCCAATATTGAAGTGGAAGCAGCAGACTGAAGGATGGTAACTTTAAATAATTCATGCAACCAGTCAAATAAAATAAAGCGTTCTCATCAAATGTGAGTATTTGTGAGCTTTCTGCAGTAATACAATACCAAAGTCAGACACAACAAGTGAAGATGGTCTCTCAGAAAATATAGACTTTACGATTAGAATGGCTAAGACAATAAGCAGCAGATTATGAAAAGTATACTGCGGCTGCAGCATCTGGTTTAAAATGCTTTCACTCACAGTTGTAGATGAACTCAGACAGTAAAACACCAATGATTTAAACCTTGAGTGGTTCTCTGAATTGGTCTGTTGGAAACATCTCCACATTTGTTGGCTGGATGGATTTACATGGAGCATTAAAGACTTGACACAAACATCCTGATGACTTTAACCAAATTCAGGATAAAATAATAATAAAGCTAGTAACATTTTCATCAGCTCAGCTAGATGCTCCGTTTAATGCTAAATGGCAAATGTTAGCATGTTTGCGCAATAAGCTGAGGACTGTTAGCCTTGCTGCGTGGTTTTTTTTGCTTTCATTAGCCAGTGTTAGCATGCTAGTACCCTAAGGTAATGTCTCATTCCAGTTAATTCAGAACTCTGGAGTGAAGTTATTCCGGAGTTAGTGTATTTCAGTACTAAAGTCAGAAAAGCGCGACAAACAGGATTGGTTTTGTTTCATAGCAAAGCAGAGTCATTCATGTCATCACTAGGAACACAGCATAATTTTTGGTTTTTGTGCTTAAAAATGTAGCTGCAGCACGTTCACGGACAGAGCGTTCTCACTGCTCTGTATATGGCTTATTTAGCAAGTCAATAGTGGCACAGATAGAAAGTATTACAGTTTCACTACTTTTTCCATTCACTGCCACCATTTTCGATTTCTATATAGGGGTTTCTCCCACTTTATCAGTTGGAACTCCAGGTTCAGGGGGTGTTTGAGACAAACAAACATTCCAACAGGGAATTCTGAAAGTTCGACTTAATCTGGAATGCACCATAATTATATTCTCATTAGCTTCAGTGGAAATGATCATGTTAGCACCCTAAAGTAATGCAATTTCAAACCCCCTCAGGAATATTGCGTGTGAATAGTACTAACTTAGAAAGTTTAAGATACTAACATGCTACAGACATCCCTTTGAGCCTATACAAAACTGAAAGGTTAGCACGTAACACACAAAACTAAAGACATTCTCAATCCCAGTAGCATCAATAGCTTATTTTTATAGTGAATCCACTTAACTCAGAAGTCGGTTGTCAATGCTGGGAGTGATGTCACTCCTCATTTGAATGTATTCCAGTACTAAAGACAGAAAAACAAGGGATACCAGGATTAGTTTTGCTTCTAAGCAAAGTAGAGCCATTCGTGCATCGCTATTAACACAGTGCAACGCTTGTGTTTTTGCACTTAAAACGCCCCTGCAACACATTTGAGGCTAGAGTCAGTCACAGATACACAACACTGGCAGCACGAATGAACGTTTTACGGAGCCATTCGGAGCCACCATTTGGGATTGAGAAGTCGGGGTTGGTGGGGCTGGTCTCACTTTCTATTGGAAATCCAACTTGAGAGGGGGGTCCAATTCCAACTGGGAACTTGGAAATTCCAACTTCAACTGGAATGCATCATTCGTGCAAATTAGCATGATAAACTGATAATATCCCATCAGCCTAAGTGGTGATTTCTTTTAGTGCAAATTAGCAAAGGTTAGCATGTTCACATGCCACAGCAAGATATGGCCAACATTATCAATGCTAAAAATCAGCACAAGGCATTCCCATCAGCCTCACTTGTATATTGTGTTTAGTGCTAAACAGCATGTTAAACTAACACCCTTCTCATCAATTTAAGCAGCATTGTTTGTTGTGATAAATTGCAAATATTAGCGCAGTAACAATCTAAGTTAAAGACATATATATATATAACCCTTAGCTGAACTGCATTTTTTAGTATTAAATCGCCATCATTACCATGCTAAAAAGCTAGACTAAAGACATTTATACCAAGTAAAAAAGTTCGAAGTCTCAGCAGCAATAAGCAAATAATACAACAATAAAACTAAAGACATTCCCATTAGCCTCAGCGGTTAATTAGCAAAAATTAACATATAAGCATACCAAACTAAGGACATTCTCAGTAGTAGCAGTAGTTTGTTCTCACTGCCGATAATTAGCAAAAGTTAGCATGTTCACATAACAAAATAAGAACATAGAATACGATTAGCATCATACCTGCTATATTAGCATTGTACTGTGGAACAGTTAGCATGCTGAACTCAAAGTAAACAGTTAAGTAAACCTTCATATAGATATTGCCTTAAAGAGCTGCTAGAAATGCTGTCAACTCTTATTTTCTTCCTTTAATCATGTTTTTTTGAAGTCAGCTGCTTTTAAAAAAAAAAAGTCTAAAAAACACGTTGTGTTTTAAAAGAAAAACAAACTATCTAACCCTCAACATTATCTCATCATCTCAATAAATGACCCTTACGTCACAGCATCTCGTGTTTCTGATTAGAACAATTTATAATAAAATGAGACTTTTTAAGTTCAAGGTTTCTGGAGGACAAGAGAGACAGGCAATAAATATGTCACACGGTTAAATAGCTAAGAGTTCAGTGATTATATGACGGGCTAAAGCAGGCAGGAATGCAGCAAAAATCACGAGCATGATGCAAAAGTTGAATAAATTCAAAAACGTTCCTTATCGGTGTGTTTTCAGTGCTGTTTGACATTCTCATACATAGTGCTGAGTGACAGTACCTTGGATACATTACAGAGCTTTACATCCATCGCTTTAAGAGTCCAGAGAATGGATAGAAGAGAAAAGGAAGAAGAGGAAGAGGAGAAATTAGAAGAGAAGGAGACGAAGAGAGGACGACCAAAAGCAGGGAGGCTTTACAAAGAAGTTGTCAGGCCGAGGTAACCAAGAAAAGAGTGTTTGGTAGAGAAAGATGAAGAGGAGGAGGAGGAAGATGAAGGAGAGCGCTGTTTCAGAGAGATGAGGGTCGTGATCGGGAGGAGAGGAGACAAATCCCTCCATCCAGCGCGGTCGGACAGCGATGGGTGAAGAAGAAGAGGAGGAGGAGGAACAGAGGAGGAGGATGCAGCAGTGTGAGCGCTTGGCGGTGTGTGCAGCCGCTGGACGTGCTTGTTCGAGCGCTGATTGTCTGCATGCACGTATGACCGGTGCGTATGCACGTCGGCGGGTGCGTCCGTCGCGCCCCCGTTGAAGAAGTGCGCGGCGTGTTTGACCTTGCAGTGCAGGCGCAGACTGTCCCGCCGCTTGGCGCTGTAGGGGCAGAGGTCACAGGTGAACGGTCGCTCCCCCGTGTGCACGCGCACGTGCTCCACCAGCTTGTTGGCTGTCCGGGTCAGGTGGCCACACCGGTCGCAGCGGTACTGGTTGCCCTGGCGATGACCCTGGAAGTGAACCAGCAGCTCCTGTTGCCCTGGAAACGACCTCTGGCAGATGCGGCAGCGATGCTCTGAGGTGCTTGTCTCCGGCTGGGTTGCCGTGGCAACTGAACGAGCACCGCTGCTGGAGGTGGAGGCTGTAGCAGGAAGGGTAACAGGGCATCTGGGAGTCAGGAAAGGTAGAGGGAGGAGTTAATGAGCCAAACATTACACGAGGATGCTGACAGAAAGCACACTCACCTGCATGTAACATCAACATGTAACATCAACAAATTAGTTTTAAATCCATTCAATGAAGAATTTAAATGTATCAAAAAAAGCTCTACCTCTATCTTACTGGTCAGTTCAGTTTACTTCTTCATATCAGAGTTTATAGTCTGTTTCCACAGTAACAGAGCAAAGATTTAGAAACTGATTCTGTTCAGCCTCGACTTTCACCTTAAAGGCTTTTTTTATGTTTAAACTACGTTTTATTAGATGTTTTTTCCACTTATTTAATAAGTCATACACAGAAAACCTTTTGTAAGGTCGTATTAATGCCTCAAAGGAGTACTGCAGACACGATTATTTTTACTATTGATATGATAGATTGTTGTAACAAGATTGTCCAAAAGATAAAATATCATTATCGTCATTTGTCATATAAGATTTGGGGTTGTTTCGCTTAAAAACAACTCAAAAATCTGAGTAAATTTTAATTTAACGATGTAATCATGTGCTGACACGTGGATGTGTGGTCACGTATCCGGGGGGGAGGGGGGTCGTTAGGGATCCCTACACCTACCTCACTTCTACTGCGTCGCCCTGAATGTGCGTGCAGACGTGAGCCCTCATCTCTGCCTCCTGATTGGTCAAGTGGTCGCACACGCAGCAGTGCAGCGAGAAGGATCTGTGCTCCCATTGGCGGTGTTCGGTCATGTGACTCTGGAAAAGGGCCTGTCCTTCGGTCTCAAAGCCGCACACGTGACACCTGGAAGGCAAGGACACAACAAAAGCTTGTAACACATAAATGATGGTAACAGATATTTGTCTATGAATCTCCAAGCGGTCAAAGCAGGACTCACTGTGGGAGAGGACAGCAACCAATCAGGTGCAGGTTTTGGTTTTTCTAGCGTGCGCTTTGAACTTGTCTGAACTGGGAGGGTTGATGCTTTATATTCTTCTTCACTGTCCATTTTTAAGTCACCTCTTAAAACCCAGCTCTTCATCGGTTATGTATGTGTCCCCAACCTTTTTTGCACCACGGACCAGCTTAATGTCATGGAACGGCCTTTAAGGTGTCGCAGACAAATACAACAAAATAAAATCATACGACCAAGACAAAAACTGTGGTATTTTGTAAATATAATAATAAACACGAATTCACTGTGTAATTGTGTAACTTTATTAGCAGCGTCCTCCTGAAATGCGCCAACAACATTCCGAGTAACATCCTCCTCTCTGCCCCTTAATGCTCTCAGGTCGCTATGGTAACACGTAAATATTTCTTTTAAAGTAAGATACACAACTACAACACGGGTAAAGATCCAGGGAAACCGAGTTAACGATAAAAACCCTGAAAACCATAAATTTCACACCCGAGCCTCAACTCTCGCGGCCGGTACCAAACGACTCATGGACCGATACCGGCCCGTGGCCCGGGGGTTGGGAACCGCTTATGTATGGTATGAGAGTTGGTTTTAACTTGTTATTATTTCGTTGTAATTATGCTTGAAATGCACTTTTGTTTTCAAATATATATGTATTATTATTAGTTTATTTATTTTTGTATTTTATTATATTTTTGTATTTTTACTCCATCTTTAATCTCAAGCACTTTGTTCAGCTGTTGTTTAAAGTGTTTTATGGATAAAGCTGGTTTGGCTTCATATACAGGCTTCAGATCTGAGAGGGTTTAAGAAAGCGAGCGGCGACAACTTCCGCTTGACCTTGTTCGTTTTTCCATGTCCTCTTAAAACTCACCTCTTCATCAGTGTTTCAGTGTTTCATATGTGGAATTAGTTCTGGGAAACAGGTGCTCCTGGTTTTGGAAGTTTTACGATGGTTCTCTATGAGAGAGGCGCTCAAAACCACAAGTCCCGTCATGAAAAGAGTAACGAAAACAAAAGACAAAAGTGTTTGGGCCTGAAACGGTGGGAAACTCTCCAGGCTGACGCCTCACAGTGGTCGGTGTCTTTAATGTGGAAAGCTGAGAGAAAAACTACATTTCTCATTAAACGTAAACTGCAACTGTTTATAAAAACCCCATCGAGGATGTCAAAGTGCTGATTCAGTCCACCACCATGAAGCATGGCTGAGAGCTGGCGCTCAAAAATAGGCTCGGGTTTAACTCTGTCAGATGCACTGTAGTTTACAAGTTGTGTAAAAACGATGCAATAAATCGCTCCCAAAAGTGGCAGCACGCTAATCCTGATCGAGTCACACATCCTGATGTAAGAGTTCACGAAAAATTGTGGAGCCCGATTCACAGATAAAAATCACAACAGAAGAAGAAGGAGCGGGACGCCGAGTACAATAGCATTCAATGCTTTTCACACTCTCAGTAACGGCTTTGTTAGTTTATAATGAAGCCATTTTTTATATTAAAAGCTTCTTTTTGAGTTGTTAGTGTGAGTGTAAGGTTTGTAGATGAAGTCAGCCCACTCTCACCAAAAACACTTTTATGGGCAATTTTTTATTTGAATTTGGATTTCTTCAAATTGCAATTCCAATTTTATTTTTAAAGTGCCAAATCACAACACTTCAAAAAAAGGTGCTTTATATTGTGAAGTAAAGGCCCTAGAATAATACAAAAAGGACTCAATTAGTTTAACACACTATAAATAGTATATGTGTGTTAGCCTGCTTACAGTATCCAGAGCGTACTTCATTCCTGCGTCACCTCCTGATCAAAGCCTTATTGCACACCACCAACACGTACACTCACTAAGAAGTTTTTGTGTCGTTTTATACACTTGAGTTCCTGCAGATCACAGACACACTCCATTTTAATCCACCATAATTTTCTTTGGTTGTGTCTCCAAAATCGAGCCGAGCATGGATAAAAACTTTTTTAAAAATCCAGAGCTTTGAAATCTTTGTACTAATTTCTTCCTGCTAATGAAAAAAAAAAATCTCCCACCGGTTTGTTAAACATCTCCAGAAAGTTAATGTTCAAAGACGCCTTCGCTGGCAGAATACACTGAGATGGAGAATCCGGCAGAGCTGCAGCTATGCAGGAAGATAAGCGGGGACTTCAGTCTCTCCAAAAGGCCAGAAAACAACAGCTCGAAAGCTTTACTGCTGGATAAAATGCTGTGACATTTAGGATCACCGTTCACAGAGCTATAAACAAGAGTGAGTCCCAAAACAGGCTGAAACTCAAAGATTAGAGATAGCTATGTAGAGTCAGCGAGGAAGTGCACTATCTTAAAGGGGGTCCTCACAGATATAGGAGTAAAGGTGTATGTGTGTGTGTGTGTGTGTGTACTTGTTTAAGCATCTTTGTGAGGACCAAAAGATACCACTATACCTGTGGGGACCAAGCACCGTCCTCACAAATTTGAAGGCATTTTTGAGGCTCAAAAATGTGGTTTTAGAGTGAGGTTACAATAAGGGTATGGTTAGAGTAAGGGGCTACGTAAAGCATTATGTCAATTCAATGTCCTCACTAAGATGTGAAAACGTGTGTGTGTGTGTGTTACCTGAAAAAGTAAGAGCAACCTGTGGTTTGGTGTCTGCTGAGGCTGGTTTGGGTTTCTGTGAGGAAAAAGAAGTGCATTCGTTTATTATTCTGCGTGATTTTTGCTTTTTATACACAGCAGAACTTCTTAATGATGAGGCCCTCTGGAAGCTATTATTGCTAAACCTCTGTGTGACTGTAGCCTCTGTCAGCGCACTTCACCACCATCTTTATTATTATAGACCCAAAGGGCACTCCAGTAGCAGCATGCATCCATAACACAGACAAAGGCAGCATGCAGTCATTAAAAAGTAATAATAATAGCAATAATAATAATAATGATGATACAGAGACAATGCAGGCAAACTGAACACACACATTCAGTGAGAGTGTTTGCTGAGAGCTGTCAGTGGAGGAGATCAAAAGTGTTTGTGGTGGCTAAGAGCCAGCCAGGCAGAACACAGAGGGTGATAATCAGAGCCAAATAAAGTCACGAGCTCAGACTTAATTTTTGGTCGAGTACCTTAAAAAGTTGAAGTTTTAAACTTTTGTTATGATGGTCATAAAAAAAAAACAACTTCAAACAAAAAAACCCTCAGAGGTTGCAGTTCCTCAAATGGCCACTTGAGGCTGCCTCTAGAAGTGAGTAACTTCTCATAGATTTGTGTTAGAAACAAACACGTTTATTGCATCAAAATTTGCTTCTTATTAAGGCTTAAAGTTAAATACCTGACCTGATGCAAGCAGCTAGCTAACTAACAATGACTTGTGATTTTTATAAATTGTTAGCCAATGAGCACACACTTTAAGCGCTTATATAAGAACCGGTCCATTTAATGGTTTTATAATCTTGCATTTTGGTATTACAGGATTTACCAAAAAAACTCTTCTATTCTTCTATTAAACACAACCCAAAATAATAGAAAAGCTTTGACAGAGGTCAGATCGGAGAACCAGTTTCGAAACCACTGCTGGCCTTCAGGCACAATGCAGGTTTTTCCAACCCCAGAGCTACGTCTATCCTCTTAAACAGTCTCTGCTTCACCCCCACTAACCTTAATAACTGAACTGGATTCTGGTTTCTAAAGGGACTTATCTGACAAAGAATACGGCCGGCTCTGTGGTTACTTGTAACCGGTGGTTACATTTTTTATGAAATTCTAGGGTTTTTTTGTCTGGATTTTAGCACTAACGAGCAGGGAATATGAATCGAGCTCTTGGTGACCCCAAAATGCCAAACTCAAGGCTTCAAAACAGGTCCACAAAGCAGCATGTGACAGAATTAGCTATGATGATACTTAAAATCCAGTCTTTCTAACAGAGAAACCATAAACTGGTGGTCCACAAAAGACTTTCTCAGTAGTTCATAGCTTACTCCAATCAATGGAGCTACCTTCATATTTTTACAATTAATACTGCAAGACTAGTGCCACAGCTCCACAGCTCAGTCATTAGAAGTTTGAAGTTGTTACAGACTATTAGATAAACTTTATCATTCTCAACCTCTGAAGTAGAAATTCAGGTAAACAGGTTTTTGCACAAAACAGTGTTTTACATCTGGACTCAAGATTTCAATTAAAATGAAAATAAAAATCTGTTACTAATAATACTGATGCACAAATAAAAGCATGAACACTTTTTATCCTGATATGTAACCAAATGCGTCACCAGCTAACCCCAAAATGAACACCTTTCATCGTTAAACTTTGATTTAACGATTGATTTGAATGGTGAATAATTGATCGTCGGCTCATTATCACAAAATTCTCACAAAATCTGACTTCAAATATAAAATCTGGTGATGGTCTCTATAACCAACCAACAATATTCACTTAGTCTGTCAGAAACACTGAATAAGTGCGTATCAAACGCATGCAAATGTTTCCTCTTGTTTCATTAATCTTTAATAGAAACAACAGTGACCATCACTTAAAAGTGACACTTTATATTTGTTTTTAGAGTCATGCCTCATACTCTCCGACTAGGGAAGGTATTTAGAGTCAGACTAATGCATTAAAAATTCATAACATCACCGGGCTTATCTGTAAATGCTGAAGTGTGTGCTGTTAAAAAGGCAGCTGGAGGTTTGGGAGCTCGCATCCTTGTACCTGACATCCTTCCTGCTGTGCCAGTGTTCATTGTAAATTTAGCTGGATCACTATTTCAGCCGTCAGCTCCTTTAATCCTTCCACTCTGACTGACAGTGTCAGTTTCCATCACTGCAAATTACCCCGAGACTGGCAGGCAAACACATCAATGACAACAACCCATAACGCCGTGACTCATTAATAAAAAAAAGAAAAACACCTCCAGGAGACGGTTAATAATCAAGGAGCTACACCTCCTCCAGCTGCAGAGCATCCTCGCAGAGCTCCTGTATTTTCATGTGGACACTGTGACACTCATGTAAATCTTAACCTGTGTGTGCAAACCAGGTTATTATGTCAGTGTGATTAATTAACAGAAAACTACAAAATAAAGTGTCAAAAACATGTAATTCTTAAATGATGTCATTAAACTTGTTTTAGTGCCTTAAATTTACCAGGTAGTTGTAGTGTGTAACTTAACCATGCTGTGTTTTTAGTAGCTAAGCCTGACCAAGATGCAAGTTTTCAATTTTCTACGTCAGCTCTCCAAATAAAGAGACTTTACATCCATGCACTATATCATGGGTAGGCAACTCCAGGCCTCGAGGGCTGGTGTCCTGCAGGTTTTAAATCTCACCTGAATCAAATGATTAGGTCATTACCAGGCCTCTGCAGAACTTCAAAGCATGTTCAGGAGGTCATTTAGCCATTTAAATCAGCTGTGTTGGATCAAGGACACATCTAAAACCTGGACTTTGCCCACCCCCACTCTATATAAAAGCAGCTGGGCTGTGGTTACATTCAGGATCTTTAGCAGAGGTCAACTTCTGGAAACTTCACCTAGACTAAAGCCTTGATCATAATTTCTCTATCCCTAAGTCCGCTAAGGGACTGCAGTTCCACTGGAGCCAAGTTTTTGTGACTGCATGGACTCATCTGTGGATAATTTGCATTACAATGCACCAACTACGCCAGCAGCCTTCAAGCCGCTCTGGCGTGTCTCCTGGTTTTTGTGTCTGCATCAAGAGCGGGGTATAATCGAGGTTCAAACTTTTCTACGAATAGTGAGACCTTGATAGCGGAGAGGCTAACCCCCAAAAATCGATTACACTGCACACAAACATAAAACTCTGTTTCTTCACAGCTCTAAAAGTAAGACCGTTTCGCCTTGTTTCTGATCCCTCTCCCAGCTGAGCCTGCAGAAGTCATCTGCAGCATTTAGAAGCCTGAATAGTATGCATGTGCTGCAGTGCGTGGATACAAATGTCTGGGCTGGTTGTTAAACGCTGTTGGAAATGAAAAGTGAAAAATTCAAAGTCCATTACCAAGTGGAGGAGTTTGGGAGCTGATCACTGCCGGGGAAGAGCGGCGCTGGTCGTCGTTACCCTTCAAAACAGGACTACACAGAAAGCAACACGCACACATACAGGATACTGTCATGACTGAGGTCAGAGGTCAAAATATGGCGCTGATGGATGGAAGTGTGCACTTACCTGCTTCTGATGGGTGGAGTCATCCTGTCCACCAGCTGACTGTTGGACTTACTGACCCTCTCTGCAGAAAAGCGACAGAAAAAGAAACGCATTCGAGTACAAACCGAAAAAAATGATGCAACCTGTGTGTTTGGCTAAAACCCAAACAATGGACAATGTGCATTTTTCTCTCTGCAGCTACCTCCACCTCTGAGGCTGCATGTCTCTGATACGCAGGGTTTCTTATCTGTTGTTTCCTAAAGTCTCGGGCTGTTCTCTCTGCACCAGCCCATCGGCTCACACAGCTGCTTCTTCCTGTTTAAAGGAAGTCAGCTGATTCCATGTGCTCGCTTACAGGCAATCATTGGGGTTTCCACTATGTTACTAGTGAAAAAACCTCCAAAGACCCCAAAAAAACGCACAAAACAAAGAATATAAAGAAAAAAAAAAAAAAAAAAACAAAAACTCAAAAAACAAACACACAAAAAAGAAAGAAAGATTCTGTTTTTTTGTTTTTTTGAAAGCTTTATGTATGATGATGATGTTTTGGCATCGGGGAGCAACTCTGACCAGTAAAAACACGACAATCAACTTTAGATTTAATCTAGGTTAATCTTAAAGCTCCTGTAGTTTAGCGTGAAAAATTGAGTGGTTACCTGACAGTTGGTGCAGCAGTGTGGACGCCAGGTTCACTGACATGTCCTGCCACAGCACTGCTCTGAGGCACTGGTCAGCCATCTTGGCTCCAGAGGTAAATTGGTCTTCCATCTTGGCTCCAAAGAAGAGCTGCTCCTCCATCTTCACCCCGGAGAAAACCTGGTTCTCCATCTTGGCCCCTGAAGCAAACTTGTCCTCCGTTTTGACTCCAGAGAGAAACTTGTTGGTCACCTTGACTCCAGAGAAAGGCCGCTCGGCAAACTTTGCTTTAAAGAGAAGCTGATCCTCCATCTTGGCTCCAGTTAGAAGGTGGTCTGACATCTTAGTTCCAGAGACATCCTCCATGTTCACTTGAAAGTGAAACTGTTTGGCTCCAGAGACTGCACTGTCTGCCATTGCGGAGACAGGCGGGCATCCTTCAGCACAGAACTTGCCTTCTACTTTAAGGCCAAAGAGACACCGGTCCGCCATTTTGGCTCTGGGGTGCAACTCCTCAGCCACCTTGTTCCCAGTGAGGCCCCGATCTTCTGTTTTAACACTGAAGATGTGATGATTGACCATTTTCGGGGCAGGCAGAGTAACGTCTTCTGTTACTATTTGACTCTGGGCTACTGTGTCGACTTCCATTGGCTCTTCTTCTTCTTTGAGTCTCACCACATGGCCATTCACTTCCTGACGCTCTGTGATTGGGAAGAAATAATAATAAATGATTAGAAGCAGTGTGTGAAAGTTCATTCAAAGCTAGAGAAGGAAACATGTTTTTGACCTCAACCAACAAACAAAACAAAACAGACAGTTCAGCTGGACTCTGGTACCTGAGTTCTGGTTCCAAGCTATAGAACCTCTACTTTGTGTTGTTCACCAATACAAGTGAGTAAGACGTCCACACCAGAAGGCTTATAACTGGGAGCGCAGGGCTGGAATCCAGCGCAAAGCCAACAGTCAGAAATGACTTACAGTACTGTGCAAAAGTCTTGAACCACCACTCTTTTCTCTCTATATTTGCCTCAAAGTCAGACTTTCTTATATTTTGTGGTGCTGAACAGTAGTTCGCCAGGCTGTCGGAAGGTCTTTCAAAGTGTTTCTTTGTACACTGCCACTTAACGCAGACCTGTGAATCATTCAAGCATAAAAAGGCACCTAACTCAAGGGATGAACCAGTGTTGTGCCTATACAAAACAGACAACGTGGCAAATAACCATTTTTAATCAGTGTCTTTAGGCACTTTGCTACCAGCAGCCTGTTGCAAGAACACACAATTATTTGTTCCTATTTTTTAGCTTAATCTATAAAAAATGTTAAAAAATAACACAGTTTGACAGGCGTAACATAGCACTTTTGCACTAACAAGAGCATACCCAAAGATTTTTTAGCTAAAACCTTTGCATGTCTAGACATGGTGTGCAGTGTATCCTTAAACAAATCTAGGAAATCGGGAAAAGTGGAGGACAAAAAAGAAGAAATGGCAGGCTTATCCAAAAGTCATGTCCTTAAGAAACAGCAAAGACCTGACATAGGAGTCGAGAGATGCACTTGGACCTTCAGTTGATTGATCTACTGTTCACTGAAGCCCCATCAGAAATTGTGTGAGTGTTAGCGTGGCTCTCAAGAAGAAATTCTTGAGAAACAGTGAGAAAAGCTGAGGCATGCCCAAACTACAAAAGAACTGCACTAAAAATCAGTGGCACTGTGTGTAATGAGAGAATTAATCAAAATTTAACAGCTTCATTTGTCAGCAACAATCCCAAAACACTTCCAATGCATTCAAAGTATACTTGGATATAAAAACACAAAATGGAACATTATCAGTCATGGATTGGCCTCCTCAGAGCTCAGACCAGAAGAAAACAGAACAGAACAAAAAGAAGAAAGATCCAAAGGAGAGCTTTGAATGTCCTGGAGAACTATTCCTGAAGACTACTTAAAGAAATGACAAGAAAGGTGCCTAAAAGAAAAACTGTGGTCATTCCAAAGTTCTTAGAACTGTACAAACGCTGTTATTGCCTTATATACTAAGATAAGATAAGATAAAAAAAAAAAAGATAAAACTTTATTAATCCCTCGGGTGGGTTCTTCTGGGAAATTCAGTACTGTATACTGTATTGCTGTGTATGCTTGCACATGTTCCAGTAAATCACTGCATCCATTTCCCTACATAACATGAAAAAATAAGGACTGGCTCAAGACTTTTACACAGTGCTGTATCTCTCATCACAGTTTTGGCGAACTCGTACCTGCTAGCTTCCGGAGCAGATCTGAAGCTAGCGTGTCCGTAGCGGCATTGCCGTCAGGCGTGTGCGTGAGGGACGGTGGCTCGGGACTCGCCCCGGGGCTGTCCGGTGAGAGAGCGACGCCTGGCTCATCCTGCTGCTCCGCTTCCTCTCGGCTCCCAGGATGCATCTGGGCCTTCTGGGTGGCCTCTGGAGACAGAGAGTGATTTGATTCAAGTTAACTGTAAACAGATTACTGCAGAGGTCAAATTGCAGCCTGATAACCGCACTCAAGCCTTCATGAGAGCGCACAGGCTCCTGCAACACATGCCCAAAGTCTGCGGACACCTACACGCTCACGTCTCTTCATTTCCAGCAGATAAAACCTGCAGCAGGAATTTACTGCAACGGGAGTTAAACCCAGAGTAATAGTATTCAACCGGAGAGTGACATATCACCCTGTTTTAAAGACCTGATATTGGATGCTTGTTTTTTTATTGATTTAAAAAATCGTGTACTTCATGTTCTTGCAGCCGCCCACTTGCTTCAGATCTGTGAATGACGATGGTCTCTGAGGTCTTCTGGGCTTTCAGTTGCTCCAAAGAGCAGGACAAAAACCTGAGGTGAAGCAGCTTCTGGTGTTTACTCCTCAGTCTGCCTGAGGAGAGCCGTGAAAGAAACTTAAAACCTGACTGTTTATTCTGCTTATGTTGCCTTTTACTGATTTTATTTGTCTTTATTGCTGTCATTATCGTTATTCTTTTTCCACCATTTTCATTTCCCGGGTGCCTTGGCATAGGCTTTTAGCCATCACTCCTTGGATGTTGAATGCTACCGTTCTGTCAAGGCCAAAATGTTTTCCTTTGCCTCACAGCTGTTTTATTTTTTTGTATTAAATAAAATGAAGGCAAAATCATCTTCATTATTTTAGTTCTATGATTTCATAAGTGCAACATAACATGCTGTTATTGTATTAAAAAGGCAAAGTTAAAGTAGCAAATAATCGTAAAAAGTCTGCAGGGTACTCACATGTGGTAAAAGAATATAATTATTTGCACCTATTAGAGATGCTGATGGGCTAATTTATACCTTACATGCTGTGCCACCACTGTTATAAGGCTCAGATATGTTCTGCAGCTGAATACGTATTCAGCCGCAGAACAGGTCAAAAATTCCTTTTTAATAATAACATTTTCTGATCTCTGAAGTGGCTCTACATCAGTATGCTCTGATTGGTGTGTTTGAGTATGCACCAATAGCCTTAGTAGACCTTGAAAACTCGGGGTGAGACGGCCTCGTCCTTCTTTTTATTTTTCATGTTAAACCTGAGCTGTGTGGAAGATAGCGAAAATGCATTCAGTCTTAGGTGGAGGCACAGTATACCGCTTTGTACTGAAAATTACTGAAACATCCTGTGGAATAACCCATGTATTATAGCCATAATTACATGTGTTTCATGGATGTGGAGAAGGCATCCAACCGTGGCCCTCATTATTTCCCGTAGGGGGGTGTTTCAGGAGTATGGGATATCACGTGTTGTTGTTGCAGGCTAGTCTGTCCCTGTACAAACACAGTGGAAGGTGGGTTTGCATCCAGATCACCTCTCTGCTCAGTTGGGCTCATCGAACGAGCTGAACCAGCTGGGTGATTTGCACCCAGATGTGAAGTGGAGGGAACGAGAGTAGCACCTCCAAGTTTGAGGATATGATTCCCAGCAGGAATGGGATGACTGCCTCATGAGCGTTAATTTTGTGCTGAACATTGAGGGGGGGGGATGTCTGTCGAAATAAATAAATAAATCTGGATAAATTCCCAGATGATTAAACATGCAACTATTTTGCTGGTAATAACTGAAATGAGTAAAGAAAAGTAAAGGGGTTTGATTATTGGAGGGGTCATAACCCTCCTAACCCCCCTGGAAATTATACCCCTGGACTGCCCAATCCCATGACTACAGTGTGAAAGGGAAGATTGATTGAGTTAGGCTTCAGCTCTCACGTATGACCACAGGCTGTGTGGAGTGACCGACAGAATGAGCTATCTGCATGAGGAGTCTGGGCACTCCCTTAAAGACAGGGTGAGGAACTCAGTCATTTGGGAGCTCCTCCACATCGACATCTGACAAGGATGCCTCCTGGGTGCCTTAAGGGTGAGGTGTTTCGGGTATGTCTATAGAGAGGGGACACGTGGAGATCATCCACTAAATTGTCAAAAGTATTTGCTCGACTTCCTTCACACACACATGAACTTGAGTCAAATCCCATTCTTAATCCATAGGGTTTAACATGAAGTCTGCCCATGCTCTAATTCATCCCAAAGGCGTTCTGTCATGTTGAGGGCAGGGCTCAGTGCAGGCCAGTCAAGTTCTTCCAAAACCAAAACCGCTCATCCATGTTTTTATGGACCCTGCTTTGTGCACGGGTATGCAGTCATGTTGGAACAGGAAGAGGTCATGCCCAAAACTGTTCCCACAAAGTTGGGAGCATTAAATTGTCCAATACGTCTTGGTGTGCTGAAGCATTAAGAATTCCTTTCACTGGAAATAAGGGTTCAACTCATTAGACATGTACCGTTCTCCTGGCGACTGCCAAGCCCAAATGGGAGACGGAGAAGCGTGGTTCGTCTCTGCACGCTGCTCTTGATCTTATCTGAAGGGCACGTGAAGTTTGGAGGTCAGTACTGATACCTTCTGCAGAAAGTTGGTGATCTCCGTGCACTAGGCACCTCAGCAAGTTCCCACTCCCAAAGCATAACATATCACTGTATGTGACAAATCGTCGGTATATTATGCTTTCTGCCACAACATGTTCCCATGTTATGCGTTCGGAAACAGGAGGAAACATGAGAACCGTTTGGACTCAATCTGCACATGTACATTTATTTTACTTTAATCGCTTTGGAAAACACTATCTAACACCATTAAGGTTATGGCTAGAGTTAGGATTAAGGTTAGGGCTGGAATACACAGCTGGAACGTCAGTTACCGCCGGGAGCGTCATTCTATTGAATTTCATCCACAATCCGGAAGGTTACCTTTTGTGTTCCCATGAGACATGACATGACAAGTTGTCGGTATTTCACGCATTGGGAATGAGAACGGGCTGCACATTACCACCATGCAGTCCACTGAGCTCCTGAGAGCGACCCATTCTTTCACAAATGTTTGTAGAAACAGTATCCATGCCTCGGTGCTTGTCTTTATACACCTGTGGCCATGGAAGTAACTGGAACACCTGAATTCAATGATTTGGATTGAATACATTTGGTGATATAGTATATGAGCTGGTTTTGCTTGTGAGCACGTCTGTGTCCCACCAGAACAGGTGGAGCAGGTGGCCAGGAAGAAGGAGGTCAGTTTACTTACTAACCTTGTATTATGTTTAGATTTTTCTTTATAAAGCGTTTCACTTTGGGATAAACACCATGCAAGTTATCATATATATTCTTTTATTTTTGGCCATTCTTTGCCTTCCTTAGGTAAGACAGTATAGGGAGTGACAGGAACGTGGACGACACACACGGGAAATGGGCTTGTTGTTCATTTATTCTTGTATTACTGTATTATTCTTGTGTAATAAATTATTGTTTCACTCCACCCACGCAACTCCATTTCCCACGACAGGACAGAAGAAAAATCTGTCCACATACTTTTGTAGTGTTTGTGAGCACAAATTAGCATCCACAAAAATGACATAAACAAGATGCAATTCTGGACATTAGGGGTGGAGCTAACCATCCTTTTCATTATTACATAATCTGCAAATCAATTGATTGATTAGTCATTAGGCAGCAGCTCTAGTGCCCACTGTGTGTGTGTGTGTGTGTGTGTGTGTGTTACCTGACAGCCTGATGAGGAGGTCAGACGCCATCTTGGTGCTGACATCAGGGCTGAACAGAGAGGTGGCTGCTGGGAAGGGGCTCGAACCTGCGGCTTGTGCGTCATCGCCTGTGTGTGTCTTTGTGTGTGTGTTTGCAGGGTGTGCGTGTCGTTTGGCTGCATCAGAGTGAGGCTGCAACACACTCGACCCACGCTTCATTTTCTTTTTCCGTGTGTGAAAAAAATAAGAAAGAGAGAGAGAGAGAGACAAAGAGAGAGAGAGTGAAAAGGGGAGTCAAAACTCAGAAGAGAGGAGGGCAAGAGAGGAGGAAGAGGAGGAGGAGGAGGAAGGTAGTGGTGCTAAAATAAGACGAGTGTGTTCTTCAACATATGGACGTGAGCAGAGCATCGTAGAGAGAGAGGAAACGAGGGTGGATTTGATCTTCAGAGCGAGCTGTTGCTGGCTCTCGGTGACCTGAAAGAGAGAGGAGGGAAGACGAACGGAGGGGAACGGGACGAGAGAGGGGGAGGAAGAGGAAGCAGTGAGGATGAAGGGCGAGAGAGAACAGGGGAGAGGAAGATAAAGGGAGGAGGAGGAGGAGGAGAAGAAAAGGAACAAAGTGAATCTGTGAATAATAAATTATTGAATGGATAAGGCCCAATAAGGGGATAAATCATCATCTGTTATCACCATGGTAACGGACCCTGCCTCGTCACCTCCTGGCCTGACCTTCCTGTTGAAAAACAATAATCATCACTTGTGATCAGTGATCATCAATAACTACTCCGCCTGTCACCGCCTGTTAGCCTTGGTCACTTTTTGCCCCTGAAAGGAAAAAAATTGACTGCATCCTAGGAAAATACTTAAATTTGAAGGCTAACAATAAAGAGATAAACAAATAAATAAGTAAATAAAAATGTAATGAATAAAAAAATAATAATCTATCAGCGTCCCATTGTAGGAATGTAATTTAAATAAAGATCAATGAAAAAGTAAAATAAATTATTTAAAAATGAACATGCCTGTGTCTGTAGGAATATCTACGTAATTTAAATGTGCAAAAAAAAAAAGAAAAAAGAATGAACACATGAACACAGGCTTTCTGCAAGAACACACGTAATTTAAATCTTAAAATAAAATGAACATGATTGTTGTTGAAAAAACTATTTTAAACAATAAATCACATTTCATTTTAAAAATGTAAAAAAAAACAACCCCCGTCAAAATATCAGCCCCAAATCAAAATATTTTAGCGCCATGATGACTCAAAACTACACCAAAAAAGTCAATAATCGAGTTAGACAGAGACACAAAAATATTGTGCAAATAATATATATATATATTTGTGTGTGCGTGTATAAAAATCTTATTTTCTATAGCAATTAAATAATAATAGTAAATTTTAATTTAAAAAAAATCCTGCTAAATTCACTGCTTCATCTTTGTAACATTTAGGTCCTTGTTAATTAAAAAATTGCACTAAATAATTTTATTTAATAAATCAAATGTGGCTGGCAGGCTCTTCGTTGCCTCGGTTCACTCACTACCCCCGTCGACCCCGTTTCGCTCTGCCTCCTGCCTCCGTCTCTAAGCGACACCGCGCGGGCTGCTGCCTCCGCCGCATCCGGCAGGGAGGCGACAATCATCGGGCACCAGCTTCTCCACAACACCCCCTCCCCTTCCCCTCACGTCCCTCTCGGTGTCGGTCGGTCGGTCGGAGTCAGAGCCCCCGGAGCCCCGCTGTTAGCTAGTTACCTCCCTCCTCCTCCTGTACAGCCCCCCCACACCCCCCCGCAACATGGCTGAACGGCACTCCGACTCCCCGCCACACCGAGTCAGAAAGTCATCACGCCATTTAGAGCCGCCTAACTGCCAATTTACACATTTTTAACGGTTTTCCCTCGCGCTGCCTTCAGTTATGGGGAACAAGGGCAGGTGTCAAGAGTCCAACGGCCCCCCCACACACACCTCCTCCCTCCCTCCCTCGCCTATCGATCTCCTGCAACATGGCTGAACGGTAACCCGACCTCACGAGACCTCAAAAGTCATTTTCACGGGTCAGTTACCAACGATACCCAGG